AACAGCAGGGGGGGGTGGAATAATCAACTGATTGTCAGAAACTTAACGCTAAAAAACTTGGTTACGTATAAAAAGAACAGCTTGGGCCGAGCCAGCCCTCTGAGAACACCACGAACCACTGCATAGATTGAGGCAATGAGTGCAGTAAGAGGAACTCAATATATTAATCAAATACAAACCCACTGTACAAAACGCTTCCTTTTTTTTTTTTTTTTTTTTTATAAAACCTGTTCACAAAAATAGTGCAAAACGTCGGGCACCAGCGGGGGCAGGGGGCTGGCGTTTGGAATGACAAAACTTTGGTTGAAGAGGGGCAGGGCCAGGCCTGCCTTGGCAGCGGCTGGGCTCGGGGAGGGCTGGCAGGGCAGGCAGCGCCTCCCGCTCGGCACGGGCAGCTTTTCCCTGCTGGGCAGCAACTCCAAGGAGGGCTTTTGGCCAGAGGAGGGGAGCGAGCAGGAGGGCTGCGTTCAGTGCTACGGGGAAGAGGCGAAGGGCACGATGCAAAAGCAGGACGCGTTAATGCAGCAGAAGGGCTGCAGCGGGACTTTGGGGGGAACCGGGGGACCCTCCGCTGTGCTCTGCCTGTGGCTAGAGCTTCCCGGCCGAGGGGAGCCCAGGGGTGCTAGTGGCTCCAAATCCCTCCAGGCACGTAGGGCTTGTGCAAGTGCTGTATTTGATTCCAGTAAGAAGTACCGTCGAGCTCAGGCAGCAGGGAGAGGAGAAGGAGCTCCCGAGCCCCCGCCGGGCCCCCTTAGGTGAGGCGGATCCCGAGCACTTGTTCCAGTTCCTGCCGACGCTGCTGGACCTGGAGGGGACAAGGGCGGTCAAGCAGGGAGAGAGGGCTGCCCCAGGGACCTCCCCGCTGCCACCCCGACTCGCTGCAGCACCCCACCAGCACGGCACGGAGCCCACCTTGGCGAAGATGTGTCTGCCCACAGCCTCCTGCGCCCAGGGCTGCTGGTAGAACTCTGCTCGCCGCTCCTCCTCGGGGTTCCCGATCACGTCCGTTATGATCTGAGCAAAACACGGGGTGGGGAGGACACGGCATGAGCGCCAGGGCTGGACCTCCCCCCCACCCCAGCCCCTCGCCCCGCTCAGCCCCGGGGTTTTTACCTTGAGGTCCCTCCTCTGGGATTTGATCCATTCCTGGATGAAATCCTGCGGGTTGTTGCTGAAGCTCAGCATGAAATCACGCTGCGTCTTCAGCTGGTTGATGGATTCAATGGTCTCGTGAATCTAGGGAGATGACGAGGGGTGAGAGGCAGCTGTGTCCCCCCCAGAACAGGACACCAAGCTCCCCCCAGCTCTGTGGTGCAGCCTTGAAGTGCCACCCTGGCTGAGCCCCGCACCTTGGCATCCAGGGAGGCGATCTCCTGCTGGTTGGTGGTGGAAGCCAGGAAGTTGCTCATCTGAGCTTTCAGGGGATCATCCACCTCCACGTCGATGTCGTAGCAGGCCGTCTTCTTCTGGTCATTGGGGTCCACGCTGGGAGGAAACAGGGCGTGAGGGGGGACGTCAGCCTCCACCCTGCTGTAGGGGTGGATCGACTCCCCTGACAGCAACACGAGTACCCCACTGACCGCCCCGAGAAGCCCCCAAAGTTGTTTGGCTGATTCTTCCCCTCCCAAGTGACTTGTGCTCACTGCTGCTTTGGGCTGGAGACCTCGTAGCCCCTGCGGGTACTGCCCTCCCCTCCTGCACCCCGCTGGGGAGGTACACCCTGCCCCTCCACCCCACAGAGCCCGCCAGCCCTGGGGAACGCTGCCCAGCACACCCTCCGCCCTTACCTGATGGTGTGGTTGATGATGATGGGATCTGGGTGCTGCAGGAGCCCCGCCAGCTTCATGGGGATCTCAGAGAAGCGCATGCGGACACAGTTAAAGATCTGGAGGGGCAAAGCAGAGTGTTTGCTGTCCGTGGCAGGGGCTCTTCCCACCCACCACGCAAAGGGCCAGGCAGGAGGGGGGAAACCTGCCCAGCCCTGGTTTGTGCATGGCAAGCTAGATGGACGCAAGCCCCTGGGGAAGGGGCATAAATTGAGACCGGGCAGTCTGGAGTGTCTGTTTCAGGCCAGAAAAAGATGCTTTTTCTGGCCTTACTGGAGGTGGGAAGGGTGCTCTCCTCCCAGCAAAGCACGGTGGTGCCGCGGGGCGAGGACTGACCTGGCGGAAGTAGCGGTTGCAGTTGATGTACTCCTTCTCGTGACTGTCCTGCAGCTTGTTGTGCTTGATGTAGAGCCAGAGCGCCTGCATGATGCTGGCGCGGGTCTGGGTGTGCACCCCGAGCAGGCGAGCCAGGCGAGGGTCCAGTTTGTACTGTGGTGGCTGCAGGGACAGGCAGGATGAAGGGGGTCTGGCACTTGGAAGGGCCCCCTCCTGTGGGCACGCTGCCCCACACAGCCCTTGTGTCACACACTTGTGTCACCGCAGGCTGCAAGGTCTGTGCCGGGAGCCCTCTGTGCTCCTTTTCCATCCCCACAGCCCCCGAGTGGCCTCATATTAAGGCTCTGCCCCAGCCCAGGCCCGTTTGCCCCCGCCGGACCTCCCTGCACAGATAAGCTGTGCTGGAGGAAGGGCAGCAGGGTACAGCCAGCACCCGCGTGGCTCCAGGACCCCTACCTGGTGATCCAGCATGAGCAGCAGAGTGCATTTCACATTGACGTCGCCGGGACGCTTCACTTGGAAGCCATCAGTCTCCTGGGTTGTGGGCAGCCGGTGCCACTATGAGACACCAAGGGGACACTGCTCAACTCCAGGACCATGACAAGCCACCTGCTAACAGGCTTTGGGGTCTGCAGCCAGGAGCAGAGAGCGCCAGTGCTCAGGCGCTGTGCAGGGGTCTAGCAGAGACAGACAGCCTGGATCCCACCCCTGGCAGATCTGGGAGTCTGACCCTACTGGGCTTCAGCCGAGAGCCCACCTGGTCCAACAGATACAGCTTGATGTGCTCCAGCCCAGAGGCAGATGGGAATTTGGATGGGCTGGGGGAGTTACAGCCCTGAGCACTTGATGTCAAGGGCTCAAACAGCTCCTGGTGTCAATGCAGGATCAATCCTGCCTCAGCCAGTGCAGGGGCTGGGCATCAGAGCTGTTCTCACAAACCACCCCACGCGTGAAGGGGATTCACCCCCACCGCAGCAGGCACCACCACAGAAACAAGCGTTTCTCGGGGCAAAAAGCGTGAGCTGGGTGCAGGGAAAGCCTGCTCCAGGCAGGAGCACCCCAAAAAAGGTCTGATCCCACTCACAGGCGGTGCTTGATCTCCCCTTCCAGCCAGGCCATGGGCTGGGAGGCAACAGGGGAGACCCTTCTCCCCGCTTGGCGCTGGGACGCACAGATGAGCCTTTCTGTGGCATCATCACCTGTGTTGGGCCTCATATTTGCAAATCTGTGGGGCCAAGAGCTGCCCAAGCTGCCTCTCAGAGCCATGTCCTCACTGCAGCCCCACACCTCTTGGCTCTAGCTGCGTACTTGTGGGCACGAGGCGGGGTTAAGAGCTGGACGGGCAGCAGTTGCTGCCGGCAGCTGCCAAGCCGGCCACCAGCCAGCACCAGGGAGGAAAACGCAACTGTAAACTTAAGCCTGGAAAGCACAGCAGCGTGGTCCCCCGCGGAGGGCTCGGCACCGAGCCCCGGCACCCAAAACCACCTTACTCAATCCCCTCTCGCAGCGGGACAGGCGCTGGCCTGGGGAGCTGAGTGCCCACAGGGTAAGCGGCAGGACCACCTCCCGTCGCCCGCTGGGGTTAACAGCTCTCCCCACCCTGCCCGGGGTGCAGAGCCAGCCCCGCAGCGTGGCCGGGAGCCTCCCCCATCTCACCTCCACCAGATGGTTGTCTGGCCCATACAGCTCTTTGTCCAGCTCGATGACGAGGCTCTTGAAAAAGGAGGAGAACTTCCTCTTCTGCTTGCTCGGCTGCAAAACAGAGCGGGAGAGGCTTGGCCTGACACCACCAGCCACGGAGGGCCCCAGCCCAAACATTGCCTCCGGCACCCAGCGAACAGAGGGCCGTATCCACCCCAGCCAAGCTCTCAGCACGGAGCAGCAGTGCTCCTCCCACAACCAGTTCATCCCTGCCTGTATCCTTACGTCCTCCAGCAGTTTGCCCTCCACACGTAGCTCCCAGGAGGCCACACGCTCACCACCCTCCCCTTCTTCTTTGGCTGGGGTGAAAGTGTTGGAGATGTAAATCCTCAGCTTCCGCTTTTGCTGTGGAATAGGAAAACAGAGAGGGGGGGGATGCTCGGAGTGAGAGGGTGGCTGGCAGCACCCACAGCAGCCCCCACCCCACCCAGCTGCTCGCCCTCCTGGCCAGCCAGGGCTGCCACGCACCGTCAGCGGTTTCTTAATGGCCTCCTGAATCTCCATCCTCTTCCGAGCGATGGTTTGGTCCAGCTTGCGCTCAAAGGCGAGGAGGTCCATGTAGGCCTGGGATTCTGGGACCAGTTCCCGGATCTGTCAAACAGAAACGGTCAGTCCCTTGAGTGCTGGGATGGGGCTGCGTCCCCCACGCCAGCCCCAGCGATGATACTGGTGCTGGGCTGGCGCACCAAGGAGTCACCAAGTGATGAGTCCAGCACAACAGCACCAATTCCTCATTTTAAGCAAAGACTACAGCCCTGCAAAGCTCTCCCCAAATCAGAGTTGTACTGCGGACCCCAATTTGGAGCCTGTCACTGTGCCCAGCAGCCTGCCCGGTGGCACAGGCAGGTAATGGATTGTTAAGAGGGACCTCCAGGAGGGGCTTAAGGTCCTCCTGGGGTCTCCACCCCAAGCCACCGCTGCTCCTTGCTTGCCCAAAGTCCTGCTTGTACAATTTTTGTGCACACCTCAAACCTCTCCCACCACCCCAGAGGAAGAGACAGAAATCTTCCAGGTTGGTTTGGGACTGAGCAGAAATGCCCGGCGGGCAGGAGGCGGCTCAGCGAGATCCTCCTCCTCCTTGTGGGACCTGCACGGATGCACCACCTCCCTCCAGCAGCTCAGCTCCTTCCCCACGCACCGAGGCAGCACTCACCCTCTGTGGCAGGACCTTGTCAGCCATCTTCCTCCTTTTCACCCTGCAAAAAGCACAGAGACAGGCAAAAAAACCCCTATTACACTGCAAGCTCTTGCAGGACACCTTGTTGCCTGCCTGGTGGGAAGCTGCTGCATGTCCCATGCTTGGGCAGCAGGCGCGGCGAGCCTCCTCCTCCTTGTGGGACCTGCACGGATGCACCACCTCCCTCCAGCAGCTCAGCTCCTTCCCCACGCACCGAGGCAGCACTCACCCTCTGTGGCAGGACCTTGTCAGCCATCTTCCTCCTTTTCACCCTGCAAAAAGCACAGAGACAGGCAAAAAAACCCCTATTACACTGCAAGCTCTTGCAGGACACCTTGTTGCCTGCCTGGTGGGAAGCTGCTGCATGTCCCATGCTTGGGCAGCAGTGGGTCTCTCAGGGGACAACACTGAGCTCTGCTTCTACACCAGGAGCCCGGTGGCTCTTTTGGCCCCATCCAGGCCATGAATGGGGCCAGGCTCCGGGAACAGGAGTCACAGCAGCAGTGCCAGCTACGTGCCATGTGGATGACTCAGTCTGAGCCAGGTGTCGAGGCTCCCGCTGCAGTGAACAGGTCCGGGGGAGCAGGTCTGCTTTTGGGGCTGCTCTGTGCGAGAGGGACTTTGGACTTGCAGGAGGGGAGCAAAGAAAGGCCGTAAGAGCATCTAGAGCACAAGCCCTTGGATTAGTGCTGGAAAGCAAATGAGTAAGAAATTATAACCCTGTGGGCAAGCCACGATGACTCCAGGGGGGAAGGTGTTGGACGTCTAGAGCCTATCACCAGGGAAGGAAATCCAGTCCCTGGCTTCAGTTTGCTTTGCTGCTGCTGCTGCTTGCTAAGGGTGCTGCAGGGCAGGAGCAAGGAGAATCATAGAATCATAGAATCATTGAGGTTGGAAAAGACCTCTAAGATCATCGAGTCCAACCGTCAAAGGTGGTATAAGGCAAAGCTGCGGCTGCAGGCATGCTCCCGTCTGCAGGACAGTGTTCCCGAGTTTCCTCTCTGGAAATGGCCGTCACATTCTCCCAATGCTACAAACCAAAGCCCAGTTCCAGGAGCTCACTTAAAAACAGCTTAAAACAAATCAACCTTGCCAGGGTGGGGCTGAAATCGTTATGGGTAGAGGAAGCAGAGTGGCCTCTAGAGCCACAGCACAGCTGCAGCCTTGCTCAGAGCCATTTTAGCGCTCTCTGAGCTTGTAGTACCCTGTCAGACCACAGGGCCCTGGGCTCTCCTCCCCTCCCACATGCTGCAGGCTCCCAGCCCCCATCAGCCTGAGCCCACCCCAGTGCCCCGTTAAATTCATGCTCAGTGCCTGGATACACGAGGAAACGCTCTCCTGCCATTCTGCTGCACATGTGAGTAAGAGATGGGGCAGAGTCCAGCAGGCAAAGGGAAGTCCCTTTCCCTTGGCAGCATGTGAAGCAGCAGGGCAGCAAACGTGGGCATTCGTGCTGCCATCACGAGGTGTCCAAGGTACGCCGGCTGCCCCACAGCTGCTCGCGCAGGAGGACAGGTCGGGAGGGCAGCCCTAGCTAAGAGGGGGGTCAGAGAACTTCTCTGAGCTCTTCTTGCTGCATTAAATGCTTTCTGCCCTGCAGGGTTTGGCCACCCCATTAGCCGCTGGCAGGTCCTGATCCCCTGATCCACAGCCGGCCGGGAGCGAGGATGCTCGACCAGCCGAGCACGGCTGATCCCACGCAGCCAGCCCCCGGGAATGGAGCCGCAGCCTTATCTGGCCGCTGACGTCCTTGCGAGCTTGCCCTTGTCCTTAATCCCCAGCTTGCTCTGGAGCACTGAAGGGATGCGCAGCTGCTCTGCAGAGGCTGCGACTCCCTGCGGAGGGATCACGGAGCCAACCAAGCTGTCGGCCACCGGCCCTGCCACGTAGGCAGGGCAGGGAATGGGACCTGAGTATCCATTTGGACCGAGGGACCCTGCCCTGAGAAACAGCCTCCAGTAATCAAGAAGCCCTCGTGGAAAACAGAAACGGAGCAAAGGGATTAGCAGCATTGTAAACAAGCGAGGAGCTGCTGGCAGAGCCTTGCCTGTGGCTTGCTGAGACCAGCCCCAAATGAACAGTCCTACCGAGACCACAGATCAGGGAGAGTCTCTGCAACCTGCTGCACCCGTCCCCTCTTTCCACCCATGTCTGTGCCTGCCAGAGCCAGCACGAACCCCTGTGAGAAGGGGAAAGACCCCAAGGAGCCAGTGCTGGGGCCTTTGGCACGCACAAACACATGCAGCGAGGCTTTTCGGTTACTGGCATGGAGATCAGAGCACGGGGAAGCTGCAAGCTGAGTGATCTCTGCCCCCATCCCTGCCCCCCCCGTCATCGCAAAACATGCCAGCCCCGAGCTCTGGCAGGTTTCCCACCGCCGGCGGGGCCAGCTGGGGGGAGTCTGCAGGCAAGCCGTGCCAGCTCCCGCCCCGCTGCGGGCTGCTTGCCCCTCTGCAGCAGGGCAGGGAGCTGCGGGTTTCTGCGGTGAAGTGCAGCTGGGACCCAGGGGGTCAAACCAACCCCCACCAGCCTGCTGCAGGTGTCTGTCCCGGAGCGGGAGGGTGCCAACCCCTTACCCTCTCCTCTGGGTGGCCAGTGGCGGCTGTGCCTGGGGGGTCAGCAGGCGCTTCCTGAAGGGGTCCATCATCGACTGCGGCAGGCCGGGTCTCATCGGGGAGGCTGCTCCGTAGGGGGGGGCTCCCGGTGGTCCCACCTGCAGCCCTGCCATGGGCATCCGGCTGCCCGGCGGCATCCCGGGGCGCTAGTGGGGAAGAGAAGAGAGGAAGAGTGTGAGTTAAACGCTGCCCTGTGAGGGGCCCTGACCTTTGCCGGGGACCAGCGGATGCTATCCGCCCTCTCGCTTCTTCCCCGGGAGAGATTTCTGAGGCCATTCCCTGCTCCGAGGTGCGGGTGAGGGACAGGGCAGGGAGGAGGGAAGGACATCAGGAGCTGCGGCCTTCCTTGCAGGAAGAGTGACGGGAAAGCAGAACCGGGATGAGCAGAAGCCACTGACCGCAGGGGAAGCCCCGCCTGCCAGCCATGGCCCCGAGCCACCGCCACACAGCAGGAGACATCAGACCTGGAGCTGTGCGAGACCCCGTCACGAGGGTCATTGCCTGCAAAGCCTTCACCCTGCGGACATCAGGGGCTGTGGTGTGGGTTGTGCCACGGGTTCCTCTCCGGAAAGCGCCAAGGCTGGCAGACGCAATGCCCGGGAGGGGAGCAGGGCAATCCCACTTCCTTATGGCACCGGTCATGAGGCCGGCCAACAGGCAGGAAGAAAGCCGAGCTCCTGGGTGCAGGGGATGGAGGCAAGAGCTCACCCCCTGCCAGCACGCACCAGCTCCCGCTGCCATCCTTCCCCCTCTGGGGACCCAGAAAGGGCATTTACAAGCCACAACACGATAGCGAACCATTCCTGCAAGGGGTCCCGATGCAGGGTAGCACTCACAGCCCTTCCCCATCCCCTGGAGGAGAGCAACTTGGCAAGCCAGCACCTGCACTGCCGGCTCACAGGTGCCACCAGGTCTACACCCCATACATACCCCTGGGGCCCTCGACAAATGGTCACAGCACCCCACGACGCACCGGCTGTCCCTACGTGCTCCAGCCTGCTTCACCGGCAGTCCGAGCCAACAGCCTCCTGGGATACTTTGATCCTCAAGCTCCCCACTGCCAAGATGCGAGGCTGGGAGAGCCACCAAGCCAGCAGAGCAACATTTCTCCCCTGCTGCAGGCTCCTTGACGTGCCAGGACATCCCCCACAGCTCCCCTCCCGCTGCCCTGCGGACGGAGCAGAGGCACACGGCCATGCCGCGCAAGAGAGCTAATGAAACCACCTTGTTATCCCAAAGGAGCCCGACAAGGCAACACCGCGAGCTGACGAGCTTATCTGCATACAGGCATTAATTTCAGCGCATACCCCGGGTGCGGGAGGGCTGGGGGCACAAGAGCACAGCTCGCAGCCTGCCTGTCCCCCACAGCTTTTATGGGTAGGCTCAGAGCTGCAGCGGGAAGGTTGGTTTGATGGCAGCTGGAGCCAAAACCCACTCACCTCCTCCCCAAAGAGCTGGTAAACACAAAACCAAGAGCCCAAGTTGCTCCTCTCCAGAGCCCGAGGCCACAGGTGTCTCTGCAAGCAGGAGATCCTGAAAATATACCAACTGCTGCATTGAGAAGCGTATTGCAGCTGGGAAGCCAAGCAGCAGCAGGCTACAGGATTAGTGCTGCACATGGAAGTTCAAAAACATGCACACGAAGTGTGGGCAGAGCCCGTTACACAACCAAACGCTGCCTCCACCTTTGCTCAGCCTTCCTTTGAAGCAGCATCTCCAGAGCCTGGGCTCGCTAACCTGCCCTTGCTACAAGGCAGGAGCCTGTTTCTTCCTCCTAGCAGCCCCCAGATGTTTCTCTCCTTTTGGTCGGCCACATTTGCGCAGCTCTTCGTGACAAGCAGGACTGCACCGGCATCGCCAAGAGCCGACCGTGGCCAGCAGCACCTCCTCTTTTGCCAAAAATCACAAGGGAAGAACCCAGTTTCTCCAGGTTTGTCAAGAAATCCTCCGTGGCAGGGCTGGGAGGAGAGGCAGCACTGAGATCCACACCCTTTGCAAAATTAAAACACGCAGGCAGTGGGTAAATACTGCTTGCCAGCACAGCGTAGCTACAGGAGGACCGCGCTCCCATAACCGTGCTGACTCACTTGCGAGGGCTTCTGGAGAGCAGATAAGCCACGAGAAGAGGCTGTGAAACTTTTCATCAGAAATTTGGGAGCCCCAAGAAAAGTTGCGTAGTGCCAAGGCTGCGTGCAGTCACCTGCAGCTCCCTAGAGCCACCAGGAGCATGGATAAGACAGACGGCTTTCGAGGAAAACCTTGCTCCTGGGTGTTTCTCAGGCTCATGCAGGAGACCGTGGTCAGTGCCATGGGGAAACTGTATGTGACAACATACACCACCACAACCCACTCCCAAAGCACATGGAAGGGGGAATGTGATCAGCAGCTTGCTTGGACTAAGAGGCGATGTGGCCACGACCAGCTCCCATCCTTTGGCCAGGGCAGCTCTCACCACCACCATGCCCCGAGGTCTCTCCTACCTCCCTCTGCCACTCCGTGGGTCACGTTTCTGATCTATCCCTGAAATGAGAGATTTGGAGGCTGGCTGAGTTGGTTGAGAGGGTCTTTGACAGCTCCACATGAGCGATAACATCTTGTGCAAGGTCTCCTGCATGTTCATCTGCTCTTCAGAGGGACAGAGACTGCTCAGTTACAAGATGAGACACCTCTGTCAGCAGGGAGAGATTCAGCGCAAGAATGAACAGATCTGTCATACTTAAGACTTTAATGTCACCTCCATAAACATCTGAGAACCATCAGCCACAGTTAAGCTGCCGGGGGAGCGAGCTCCAGCCTACCAGGGACCCGCATTTCATCACTTGGACGAGCAAAAAAAAAAAGGAAGGCAAAATCCTCCACACAGATGTTTTTTTTCCCCTCAGTTTACCATCAAGATTTGCAAATTGCTAACAGAGAAGCCTTTTGGCAAAGCAGAGCCAGCCTCTGCCTTGTGTTCAGTCAGCGACCACATCCCTGTCCGGGGGAGCCTCAGCTCCCCGAAGGCTGCAGGCTCCTAAGACTCAACTCACGCAAGCATGGCACAGCCTTAAACCTCTGGCTAAGCCACGAAGCAGCATTACAGCCCTGGTGGGGTGAAGCCAGCCTCCGGCCCCCTTCAGAAGCCCTGGAAATTAGCAGGACACAAGGGGGCTTAAATTCAGGAAATTTTATTAGACCGGCTCAAACCAAGGAGACCTTCCTTAGCTCCTTCCCGGCTAATAGAACCTCTTGTCCCTCCGTCCACCCCTCTTCGCCCAGGGCAGCGCTGCTGCCCCATCCCCTCTGGGTACTGCCTCGTCCTCCCCTCCCTGCCCCACCGCCCCTGCCAGCGGGGTGGACAAAGGGCAAACCTCACAAGCTCAGCTCCAAGGAACGAACTGGACTGCATCCAGCCTTCTCTGCGGAGAGCGAGCGGAGCCCTTTGGAAACGGGACAGAAAACAGCTTGTTTCTGTTCCCTGCCAAAGCCGAAGGAACAAATGGGGCTGGCTGTGGTTTAGCGGTTCATCCCAGGTCAATGCACAGGCCGCTTGCGTTTGGGGAGCTCTGTTGAGAGTCAGCTTCAGTTGAATCCAACGGGAGGCTGGAATGCTTCCCGATGGACGTTCGTTGGCATGACAGGAGCCTCCCTGCCTGCCAAAGGCCCCTTCTTGAGGAAGCGCAGGCCAAAAATTGGAGGCTGGTAGCAGAAAGGAGAAACAAGGGGAGCAATAAATCGCAGGATGGATCTGCAAGAAGCCAGGCTGGAGAGGGAGCTTGAAGAAAAGCAGCATTTCAGAAAACAGCTTGAAAGCCTCTTCATCTTCCTTCCAAGACCGCAGCTCTTTTCCTGCAACTCCCAACGAGGGGGGAAAGGCTCTTCCCAACGCACGTCCCTTTTTGCTCCATCCAGAAAGGCGCGATCCAACTTTGTACATACTAACAGTCAGGGAGCGAGAGCCCACATGCATCCTCGCCTGGGGCTCTGGGAGCAGAGCCCTGGACAGACGCCAGGCGACGACAGCTCTTTCTGCAAGTTCTGCCCTGCAAGCCCGGACGGCGGTGTCCTATCCATTAGGACGGACGCAAAAGCAAACCCTGTTCAAATGGGATTTGAGCTCCACGCCAGGCTGGGCTCAAGGAGAGCTCAGCTGCCAAAAGCCACCGCTCAACCAGCGCTTCGCATGGATCGGGACTGACCGAGTCACCCCCAGCACACCCCAAAAGAGTGCTTTTCCCCTCTTTGTTTGTTCTTATCTGTGAGAAAATCCCTCTTGGGAGGGTGCCAGGAAGAGTCTGGGTTCGTGCTGGCAGAGATCTTCAGCTGGGACGTGGTGTTGTTACCGAGCCATTGCATGTTGCAAGCTCTTGAGCAGCACCTTGCTCCCAGCAAGCCCCCAAACTACCCCAACACAGCTCGTCATGCTTGGAAGACCTGCCGTATTTTGATGCAGGAGGAGCTCCAGGAGTCAGATCGCTTCTCAGCTAAAAACCATAGACGAGGAAGTAGTAAATTAAAGGGAGAAGGGCAAAGCAACAGGCAAAGACACCGAGCAGATTTAGGACATGTGCTGGCAACGTTTCAAGCAACAGCAGAGATGTTTGGGTCCAGACAAACCTGCCCGTCTGCGGCCTCACATCTGAAGCCGCAGATGTTACAGGTCAGAGAAAGGAAAGGTCATGGAGATTCAAATCATAACAAGGGTGTTAATGCAAGCAGGAACAAGGAACAAAGATATTGGGTTCCCTCTTGAAAGAGAAACTCTGGCAGCCTCTAACGCAGCGTGGAGGCACACACAAGAAGAGCGGAGATAGGTGCCTGGTATAAAACACTGCCTTTGGTGCTGCTGCAGTGCTAAACTGCCCAGGGAATGGCTCTGAGAACTCCTGAGAAGGTCCTGTGGAGGAAGATGGAGCGAGGGCCTTCAACAGCATGGTCTGGAGATGTTTTCCACCCAGCAGAACTTCACTGTCACATTTCCCCAGGAGAAACAAAGGGTGCCGTGGTCTCCGTTGTTGCCTTCCTCCCTCTTGCTCCAAGAGGACAGCGTTCATCTGCTTTGTATCATCACTTAAACTAACTCAAGGCTCAGTCTATGATGAAAACTGCCTTGGAAACCATCTCCCTTGGGATGGGTGGGGTCACCCAGCCCAAGCAGCAT